CAGCCTTCCAAGTAGCTGGAACTACAGGCACGCGCTACCACGCCCGGCTGATTTTTAATTGTAGAGATGAGGTCTCACCAAGTTGCCCAGGTGGGTCTCAAACCCGTGGGCTCAGGCAATCCACTCACCTCAGCCTCCCAAAGGCGTGGGATTACAGGCTGAGCCACCGAGTCCGGCTTTCCTTTTCAATTCCAATGGCTTTTTATTACTACTAACACTATACAGTAGCCCCCCTTATTTGATGGGAATAAATTCCAAAGCCCCCAATGGATGGCTGAAACTTAGGCTACTTAGTACTGAACCCTATATACAAGTTCTGACAGTTAAGTTTGCAAATTCATCCTAGAAAAAGTACAATGCACCTCATTGCTGAATATCACTACGGTCACCTTTGAAGTGCTCCCCTTGGGAAGCTACATAATGACACCAGCACCTACTCTACCTGTCCAAGAAACTTTGGAACTCTTTATCTGGAATGGCCGTCAGAGTTGGACATTTGATGTCCTGAATGTCATCAAAATGTCTTCCTTTCATTATTTCCCTTCTGGTAAAGAAAAAACGTTACTGGGGGCCAGATTAGGGAAGGTGTTCCAATATAGTTATGTTTACTGGCTAAAAACTTCTTCACAGACGGTGCTGTGTGAGCTGGTGCATTGTCAGGATGCAAGAGCTCCTCCAGGGCCATTTTTGCACACATCTTTCTCATACCGAGATTTTCGGTTAAGATTTTCCTGTTTCTCTATCGATGCTTGCTTGGTCTGCTATGCTTCTCACAGTCAGCTGATTATTTTGACACACAATTTGATAAACTTTTGCAATGTTTTCATCAGTTCTGCTCATTACTGGGCATCCTGACCTCTCTTCATCAGTGATGCTTTCTCTTCCCTCAGAAAAACGTTTAATCCATTTGTACACTGCCGTTTTCTTCATGGTATTCTCCCCATAAACTTGGACTAACATGTCCCTGATTTTACTTCCACCCTTGCCAAGTTTAACAAGAAATTTAATGTTTGTCCACTGCTCTAATTCAAACTGTGACATTCTCACAACAACAGCTCTGATGCCATTCCAGAAAAAGAACTCTAAAATTGCTTTGAGGGGTGGACTAGGTGCTGGCGTCAGTGCATAGCTTCCCTAGGGGAGTACTTCAAAGGTGACTGTCGTGATATTCAGCAATGAGGTAGGTCACATTTTTCCCCCCCTTGCATGAGTTTATGAACTTAATTGTCATACCTCATACAAGGGGGACCCATAATAACCTGAAAGTCATTTGTTAAAAATTGTGTATTCTTACATGTTTTCACTTCAGTCACCTTCAAAGCACTCTCTGTTTGATGCATCACACCTATCAAGACACTTTGTTTCACTGCTCAAAACTCACTGATGAGTTGTGAACTCATCAATTTTGATGGCTTTTAGTGCTTCTGCTGCTTTTTTGTTTCACCTCTTTCATGTTGGCAAAACATTTCCCTTTGAGGACTGTTTTCATCTGGGAAACCGAAAAAAAGAGTCGGGGTGAGATCAGGTAAATAGGAAGGGTGGGGCACAAGGGTCATGGTCAAAAACTACTGAACACTCAGCGCGGTGTGGGCAGGTGCATTGTCATAGTGGAAGCATCAGTCACCTGTTTGCCACAACTTAGGATGCGTCTTCCACAACGCAGCCTCTCGCAACACCACTAGGTGGTACACTGATGCCGATGGGTTCCTAGAACACTTACCTAGTGAGACAAGCCTGCACTACAAGGGACCTACCCTCCAAAAGATAATTCTGGTTCTTTGGGGGTCCCCCTCAATTACTGCTTTTTCTTTCTGACAACCCAGACTGCTACTAAGTGACTAATAAGCAGGTAGCGTCTACAGCATGGCTACGCAGGACAAAGGGATGATTCACGTCCCAGGCAGGACAGAGGAGGACGTCTGGAAATTTCTTCACGATACTCAGAACACACAATTTAAAACTTATGAATTGTTTCTTTCTGGAATTTTTCACCAGATACTTTTGACCTGCAGTTGGCCTTAAGTAACTGAAACCACAGCAAGCAAAACCATGGGTAAGGGAGACCACTGTACCTTCTGTCTCCCCTGCCTTCCTCTTTCCCCCCATGGATTCTTTCTGCATACTGGTAGGACAGAGCAGACAACTGCTTTCTCCATTCAAAAGCATCAAGTGACTTTTCTGCCTAGAGTGATTCCCTTTGCCCAGATAACCAAGTGCAAAACCCTTGGCTTAGCATTTAAGGGTTCCACGATCTCCAACTTTATCTCCCTCACTTTTCCTACGAGAACACTCTTCTCTGGCCAAAACTGGTGAACTCGTTGTCCACTGTCCCACTATGGGCCCCATGCCTGATCTCAGGTTCCCTAAAACCAGGAGTGACTTTACGTCACTTAAATTACCCATCTCAAACTTTACTTTCTCCCTGAAGATTAGCAATGCCTATGTAAAGACTGCCTGAAGCTGGGCCAGTCTTTCCCTGCAAAGAAATAGCCACTAAGGACAAGATGGGGCCCACTGGTTGCGGCAAGAAGGGTCGGTGAATAGGTGGCAGTGAGCTGTTGGCATAAATACATCGTGTTCCTCTATATAGAAAGTTGCAAACCAACAACCGACAAGCCAAGTACGGCCCAAAGATGTGTTTTGTTTGGCCCAGAATGTCATTTTTAGATGCTGGCTACTCATTCAAGTGGTTTTTTTTTTTTTTTTTTTTTTAAATCTGGAACTTACACAAAAATGTGAACTTCTGGCTTCTCCTTAAAAAATCATAACATCTGGCAATGCCCGGCTATATTTCAGTAAGTTTTTTGCTACCCACCCTGATTCTTAGTCACCTGAGTAAACACTAATTATCTGCCCAAATTCTATGGGTTAGCTGGGCAGTCCTGGTCTGGGCCAACTTAGCTGATCTTTGTGGTCATAGGGGGCTATCCAGGTCTAGGATGGCCTTGCTCACATGTCTTGGCCTTGTGTATCCTGCAGGCTAGCCAGGATTCTTCCACAAGGTGGTGGTCAAAACGTCTCCCAGGGCATCAAGACAGCAAGCACCAATGTTCAAGCGCTTTTCACACTTCGGCTTGTGCCACATCTGCCAATATCCCATCAGCCAAAGCAAATCTCCTGGCCAAGTCCAGATTCAAGGGATGGAGAAACAGACCCCCCGCCTCTAGATGTGAGGAGTTGCAAGGTACATTCAGGGATGGGAAGATGTTTTGGCTATTTTTAATCTATGATAGCCCGTGTGGCCATTTTTAATCTATGATAGCCCGTGTGGCCATAGTCAGCTGAAAGTGGCTGTGGTGTTCTCTGGGCAGGGGACATGCCCTCCAGGTCATCACAAGCCCACTCCCCTCCTCACTGAATCACTCCCACCTCCCCACTGGGTTTATGCTGCTGCTTGGACCACCTGAGTTAACCAACACTCTCCCCCCGGTGACTGCCATTTCCTCTGCAAGCAATTGCTCTGCAAATAGGGGAACAACAGAAGACGGAGAGCCCAGTGCAGCTTAATGTAAGATGTACATGAACAGGTTTAAGAATAAGAGCATTCAAAAAGAAGCATAGGAAGCATCAAGAGGTGACCACACAGAACTGCCACAACAAAGCAGCATAGGACACAAGCTCTTAGCCCCGGCTGTGCTGTGAATCCCTCAGTAGCCTGAAAGTCACCATTGCCTGGGCCACATCCAGAGCACTTAAATCAGAATCTCAGGGGTCGGGGCCGAACTGGATATATTCCTAAAAGCTCTCCAGCTAATTCTAACCAACAGTAAGATTGACAACCACTAACACTGGGTTATTTCTATTTCAAAGCCAGAAGTGTTGGTAAAGTCACCAGTGAAGTAGACTGCCAGTTTAGTAGCTGCCAAAATGAACTCCAAGCAGAAAAGAGTCCTTAAAAACTACTTGAGATAGTATGGCAGCATTTCAGAGACCTAAAACAGTTTCTAGTTACATGACCCCCAAATTAAATTTTTTTTTTTTTTTTTTTTTTTTTTTTGAGTCAGGGTTTCACTCCATCGCCCAGGCTGCAGTGCAGTGGCACAATCACGGCTCACCATAGTTTCAACCTCCTGGGCTCAGGTGATCCTCCCATTTCGGCCTCCTGAGTAGCTGGGACTACAGGTGCATACCACCACAGCAGGCTAATTTTTTGCAGAGATGAGGTCTTGCTATGTTACCTAGGCGGGTCTCAAACTCCTGGGCTCAAGCAATCCTCCAGCCTCAGCCTCCCAGAGTGCTAGGATTACAGGCATGAGCCACCATGCCCGGCCTTCCAAATTGAATTTTAAATAAGGCTAATCCAGTCATTTGGCCACAAGTGCCCAAGGTCAGAGCCTGGAGAGGGAAGATCTAGATATTGCTTCTGGTACAATGACTCAATCAAGGTTATATCAGGCAGTGGGAGCAATACCAGTCTTGGGTCAAAGCGGGGGACCAAGAATCCTTCCCTTCCTCCTCCTCCTTTGCCTGCTCCTTTGGGGGACAGGGGCAGGGTAGAATCCACCGGTTGGAAGTGGCCAAGCCCCTCCAAAGACACCAGCAGGCCAGACAAGGCAGGCAGAGAGTTCAAGCCCCACACAGGCCTGCCTTGGGGAACCTCCAGGGAGCAGCAGAGGCAGGAGATGCGGCTGTCCAGTTCAAGGGGCCAGTTCAAGATGCAGAGGAAGACAGGTCCCAAACACTCTCCACCTCCCATACACTCGCACAGCCCAAAGGAAAAGCACGAGAGGGCTAAGCCCGCTGTCTGTGTGTGCGCCAGGCAGTGTGCCTGGGCCTGACCGACTGTCACCCACGGTCTCCATGACTCTTGCAAGGCGACTGTGATCTATTATCCGCACCGTTCAGAGGAGGGAACCCAGAGGTTTGTCGGGCTGACGGCCCACCGGCCTGTAACTTACAGCTCTCAGAGCAAGGGCTCCTGCAATTGGGGCCCCGCCTCCCTGTTGCTTTCTGAGTTCTCGTCCCGAGCAAGGAAACAGTCCAAGACGGTCCCTTGGCAGCTCCAAGTCCAGGCTGCCGCGGCGAAACAGACCCGGAGCGCCCACAGAGGCCACCGGCTCTGTCCCGCGGGCACGGGAAGGGCCGGGGCTGCATCAGCACTCCCGGGCCCACATCCCGCCGCCTCCTTCCCGGGCGTTTCCCCGCCTGGGACCCTCGGCCGTTTTTCTGCCGCCACCAGCACGGCGCGGCGCGCTCGGGCCACAAGACGGGGCGCGCGCCTCGCTGGGCAGGACTCGGCCTCCCACACTGAGCCCCACGCCGATCCCGGCAACCCCCGAGGGCAGGAGCTTCCCCCGGCGGCGCGGGCTTG